GATACACTTTTCAAATAATTTATAAAGGATAACTTAAATTAATCTATCTCTACTACCAACTATCGATATTTTGTGAATATAAAGAATTTATTTTTTAGATAATAAATTTAATTAAAACCTTCATTATTTACAATGAATTAATTATTATGGCATTATGAGCTTGCTGAAATATCGAAACCTTTTAAATTATATTTAAAAGGATAGTTTATCTGGAAAACAATGTGTATGATTGTTTGCAATATATAGATTTGGTCGATGAATTGTATTATAATAATACTATAATAAAAGTATTAATTTTTACAGCAATAAATTTTGTCTTATTTCATCTCAAAATTTAATAGATGACCCCCCAAAAAAATTTATCCTACCCCCATTAAAGCAGCTTACCCCCTCAAAAAAATAGGATGCAAACTGTTCCTACCCCTCCCGCTCATGTAGACGCTGGCTCTGATTCACGTTCCAAGTTTCCGGAGGAAATAGAGGCTCAATTTGACTTGTCTGGGACTGAGAATTGCCTCTTGTGACCTTCCTTGATTCTCGATTAATATAATTTTTATCGAAATAGTCAAGAATATCCTTACCATTGCTCGGAGTAACCGATCTCGAGCATTAGCCATATCACATAAGGGAACAATGCTGAGCCATACTAAATGCCAGAAAATAAGCTTAGAATTTCATCGGTCCTGTATAGGTTTTCCAGACCTAGTTTTAAATTTTATGGGTACTTTGACACAAATGGTAAAAGCACCCTCTGATTATATAAAATAAATAAACATATTAAATTAATAATCATACCAATGATAGTTTTAACCTCGCTCATAGCAGACTTTTCAAATCCTATATATATATATAGTAAATCAGGAAATAAATATTTTTCCTGACCTTTAGACATTATTATTTCGGATATTTTTTCGTAAGTATTTTGCGTTTTTTTTGGAATACACAATAAACAGCTGTGATAAAAATAGTGTTTGAATTCACCAAAAAAGTAAAAATCAAAACCATTTACCTCACCCTCTACCCTCCTCATCTTTACCCAACTTCTTTATAATATTATGATAAAGCATTCCTAATAATTTCCCACCACTCTATGATTTTCGATTTGAAGAAGATCTCGTGGAAAAAATCCTATTTTATATGAAAGAATTTCATAAAGTGTTATTTATAAAGGTCAAATTTGGCTAAAAGAAATTCTATTTTTATTCGTAATTTTTTTTGGAGGGGGTGGGGGGTTATATCATAAAAATTTTTTTGCTCTTAAATTTACATATTATAGTATACTATTACAATTCCTAAACATTTCTGGTTTTAAAATAAAGCCCGCTGAACTGACAATTCCCTTGCACCGACTAGCCCTTATTTCTCATATTCTAGCCTGTCTAGCTTAATAATTTCCGCAATTTGATGATCATTTACATAGATAATTAAGAATTTCACCTATTTTAATTTGCTCCTAAACGTTCAACGGTCAGAAAGGCGTCTAGATAATAGTGGCCCGCAGTTTTCAATTACTTTTAATTTACTTTAAAGTTTATATCTTCACTCTATTTTAACAAATCATCTAGGATGGTAATATTCAGCATTCGTTCGGGTTAATAATATTGTGAAACCAATTAAGTATATTTGATAAGCATCATTTGGTGTTTTATCTCAGGACACATTTTAAAATATCCTTGGCACCATCAGATCAGCCAAATATTTTGTCACCATGGCTTTTGTATGCATCATTGAAAGAAAGACTATGGAACTCAAAGAACATCTTCAATAATTTTCCAGTGTTAAAATGTCTAAATTTATTGTTTGTAAGTATTTTGATAAAGGCCCAATTATTTAAAAAGATTTGAACCTTTAATAAAGTTTTAAATCTTTTGTTCAATGTAGCTTCAGATTCTGAAGTCTTTTTTCTATTCAAAAGAGTTGTTATATTTATAGTGGCTGATATTAACCTATCTTTGTCGCTAAGAATCAATAAAATTACCTACCCAACATCTCGTTTCCCCAATTTCTTCGAAACCTTTAAGAATCTATTATCTGTTTATCAATACTTGTCTTCGTCCTTGCTAGTGTTTTTAATAGGCTCAACAGCTAATATTTTAGCCAGAAAAATATTGCACAAGCCTCGAGATTTCGCTAATAAATGCCCAAACCGTTATGCTCTTTATGAACAAAATCAAGCCTTTTAACAACACTAGTCCATGCTCTATCCTTTTATGATACATTTTGCAAAAGTAGCATGCCCTCAAAGAGATTCTTCGCCTCAAGATTATTACATATGGCTATAACAAAACATAAATACTATCTGATATTACTTTCTTAATTTGAGCTTGAAAGCCAACAAACTCACTTGTCCTATGCTGTTACGCCAAACGTTTCTCTAATTATCATGTTTATTTGTAGTATTAACAAAAAGAATTGATTTTAAAATATTTATAGGCTTCATTTTTTTCTAAAAGCTCCAATATTTTTTGAAATATCAAGGTTCCAAGAGATTTTTCGCTAGACCTACTAATCAGTCCATTCTGATTTATATTATAATTAATAATAATCATGTTTATTTGTTATAATTTATAAATTAGGTATATTTATGTGCAATAATAAAATAAACGTTAGTTGCTTTATGTATAAAGATAAAATTTAAAAAAATATGCTCTAAACATAATTCTAAAATCTGCGTGAGAAAAAATTTTCGGGTTTAAACAGAATGGATATTAATATTTTGTTACGAACTAAACCTGAATGCTAAACCGTTATCTTTATCTGAATTAATCCATGAACAAAAGGGATTTTGAATATATATTACTTTACCAAACAATTTCTCCTTAGACATAGCTAGGAATTATCTGGGGGTGGGGGCACTATTTTTCCCCATAAATTATTTTATAGGTCTTTAGGTCTACCAGGCCTTTGCCTAAGTTAGATTTTTATAAAAATAATTTTGATTTTTTGACATTTTTTATAAAAATGCGTAGTTCTAATTAAAAAATTATTAATTTTTACTAATTTTTCTTCCAAAATCTTGTTTATAGTGATGTATTGTATGCAGTTTTGGGGGAGAAGGCATGTATGGAAAAAATTAGCCTAATGATATTTACGAGAACATGCAAATTTCGGAAGGGGGGAATTTCCCCTTCCCCCCCCCCCACAGCTTCCCCTTTGAATTGTCAATAAAAAAAAGAAAAAGTTATTATGCATTTTTTTTCATAAGCCCGGGACAACAGCATTTTTGCTCCTATGAATTGTCAATAAAAAGAATCCAAAAATATTTTTCCCATAAAAGGTTACTATGCATTTATTTTTTTCATAAACTCGGAGCGGCATTTTAGCGTTCCTGTTCCATTCCGGCTAAAGAAGTGTTCCGTCCCCATTCAGGGCTTGTTCTTATATAAATATTTAACTTACTATTTTTTAAATCAACAGATTTTATTCATTAATCTTTATTTAGCCATTAATATCAATTATTACACGGAAGCAATAAAATACATTTTTTCCTCTTAATTTAACAATTATGTAATATAATTATATATCCATTAATAGACATATCAATTAAGATAAATTTTTAGGTATTTGTTAAGAAAACTAAGTAAAATAGTGAAATATTTTTTCATTTCCTTATTAGAATTTAGTTTTTAGGAATTTTTTGAACCGTCCTAGCAAGTTACCGTTCTCGTTTTATAAATTTCCTCAAAATTCTGTAGTCCCGAATTTTTAACATCTATTTTATCAGTTATAATAATTCTAATTAAATTTATAAACCAAATCTTAAAAATGTTTCTCCATTTATTTAAAAGATAGTACATTTTATTGAAATTTATTTTTAATAATTCACATTTTTTCCAGTTTTTATTTATTTTTTCCTTAAGATTTTTTTCGGCAGTTTTTAATTTCCTTCAGCTTCTATTTCCTTAAGATTTTTTCCTCAGTTTTTTTTTCCTTAAGATTTTTTTCCTAAATGTTAACAATTTGTTTATTAAATTTTTTATTTTATACCCTAAAATGTTAGAAAAGGTCGTTATAACTCCCTCCCATCTCATGCTAATAAAATTTTTTTCAAAAATCTCATCATGATCTAGGCCCGTAATTTCAATGACACTTAGAATCATTTTAGTTTACCAAAGAATCTTAACATATGACTTGTTTATTATTATTAGAGAGCATTATTTAATAGTTATAAATAGGGTGTTTTAATCTGTTTGAGTTCATTAAAATTTATTGTATGATTGATTGGAAATTAAAAGGATATAATAGAGAGTAGACACAATAATAAAATTCCTATTTAATTTTATTAATTTTACATTCAAATGATTTAAATAAATAATATAATATATATTATATTAACAGCATTTTAAAAAATTTCAACGCCAGGTAGTCACCGTATAAAAAATTAAGCGGCAAGCCTTTCAACACGGCTAAACTCAATCGAAGCCTTGACGTGATGATAAGTGGCGTCAGAGTTCAGATCTAACGAAAAAATAATAGCGATTATCAACTAAAAAAAATAAACCCAGTGTTTAATATTCATTAACTGTCAAATTCTCGATTCATCTTTAATTTAAAAAATATCACCCAAAATTCAAAACAAAGAAAATGATTAAAAATCCAATCAAAAATACCGGGAAATTTTAATAAAAAATTTATTATACTAGCGGTATTATTTATCAAACTAATAATTAATTTTAAACTTATTCATAATGAAATAGATTTATAATTAAATCTTTTGAATTTAAGTAATATATTCAGTTTCTTTTGACACTAATTAAGAAAAAAAATACCAAAAACCTAAAATAAATAATATTATCAAAACTATGCTATTAGAAATAATCAACAATATCTTAAAAACTAAGACATTATATACTATTCACCACAAATATTTATACTAAGTATTTGTAATAAATTCATAATTTTTATTTAGACATTATAATTTAAAATCTATGCTTAAATTATTAACGTGTTATAAATAATAAATATTGTGACAATCAATAATAAAATATCTTTCTTTATATATTATATTGTTAACATTAGCAGTTTAAATATGAATCTATACATAATATTAATTTTTTTAGTAAATCCACAATAAATATATATATATATATGTACAACTATATCTCTGAGTAAATGTATTAGCACTAACATTGGAAAATCAATTAGAGTCATACTTAGGCAAAAGGAGATTAAGTCAATTTTTAAAATTTTTCTAGCAATCATTTTATTTATTCCTGAAAGATTTTGAGTTCTTTAACAGAGCCCCTTGCTCTGGACTCGAACCATCTAAATCTTGCGACATCTTTTCTCGTTATCATGCCTACTACTTCGTTTTTTTCGTTTATAACCGTCAAATGCCTCAAACCCAATGCTCTAAATAATCTGAAGACTCTGGGCAAGGTTGCAGAGTAGGAGATGGTGTAGGGAGCCTTGCAACAATAAGGTTGTAGATCTACCCATTGGGAATGTAGTAAAGCTTTGTGTGGTTTTTAATAAAGATAATTAAACGTTTAAACTATTTTAATATATATATATTATATAAAACGTTTAATTGGATTTGACGAAGTATAAAAATAATAAGATAAATAAATTATTTACATTCAGGGGAAGGGAACTCTATGTCGTGAATATCAAAAAATCTGGGATAAGGATCTTTAAAATCTTTAAGCGTGAGGATATTTTCGTTGCTTAAATTGTCACTATTAAAGGTTTTGTCGAAAATATTTTCGATTGTCGCATTTTTTCCATATGATTTCGCGGATTTTGATGATTCATGAGTATCATTAGTTATATTTCGACCAGCTATTTTTCTTTTGCCTCTGGTGTCATTGATTTTGATAAAATTGTAATTATTGTTATTGTGAGCATTATTGAATTTAGGATCGTCCTTATCTTTATCTGAATCTTCGAAAGAACTTTGAATTTTATTATGATCCAATAAAAGGGGCAATTGAGTGGGATAATTTACCTTGCCATCAATATCTCTCCACTTGTAAGAGGACGAGAAGGAGAAGGAATGGAAATTGGATTGATTATCGTAACTGTCATTTTTCTTATTGATCAACACCGGAGAAGAATCAGGTTTTCGGAGAATATTTAGTGAATCAATTTCTTTGTCTGGAGGAGTATTACTGATAATTTGAGGTATTTTGTTCTTAGAGAACTATAATTTTATATAACAATATCATACTAGTCAAGATTTTTAAAATAACTAAAAATAATGGTAAAATTTTTATTTTAGGATATTTTAAACAAATGCAAAAATGAATTCATTTAGAATGATTTTCCAGATGTATAAAATACGAAGGAAAAAAATAACCTTTTGCATTAATATAACGAGTAATTGGGATCTGAGTATTAAGCCTCGAAATCGACCGAAAGAAAGTCGGTGAGGTTCACTAGCGGTATCAACTATAGGAAACCCGTTATGTTTTTGCGTCCTCAGCACCTGAATTATCGTAGATACTTTTTCTATGGTGCGAAAAGTGGTTACAGGATGGCTCATTATCTTTACAATATAGAAAATACAGATTTACTAAAAAATAAAATATATAGTTTAAGCATAAAAGACTATTTGATTTACTTCATTCATAGGACAATTTTTTTAAATATACACTGTAGAAAGATTGGTCATAATTAAATTCATTTATTGGAGGTTGAATGTTACTAAACATTATATTAAAAAATTAACAAAAAACAACTATTAATTATTATGGCACGACTTCGTTTCCGGTGATGTGGGAAGAGAGTGGAGGTGGTTCCCAATCCAAAAAAGGCAAACTAAGCAAGTGTATATGCATATCGTAAACGCCCTCGTTGAATAGATCACCCACCCATTTAGTTATCATGAGGCACAGCATTATCACGAGACCAAAAGTTATATTACCTTAGTCATTATAAATTCGAGTTTATTATTCACATGGAATCCAATTGAGAAAAAAGTTGATGTTTTTAAAGTTTTTTTATAGGTTTCATTTGATACTAGTCCCGCTAATTTCGAACAATTATCACCTAAATATCGCTGATTTTTAAACATCGGCAGGTTAACCCAATAAATCAAAAAGTTTATAAGCCTGGAGATTTTGCTCATAGGCAGTAAGTTTAGAAAGCCTGGGTAATTTTATTTTGATTTCGCCATTTTTAAAAATTGGTTAAATCGAGCCGTATAACAACATTATCATTTAAGGCAATTAATTTAAAAATAACAAAATTAGCTCTAATGTAGAATAAATTTTCCCTATTCCAAAATATCCCAAGATCTAGTCATTATAGGTACAAATTCAATTTCAACTATTCTGAAAATTTTTATGATAAAATATATAAATCGAATAAAAATTTTAGATTTTTTAGAAAACCTGATTAAATATTTTTCAAAGAAAATTTATGCGATAAATATTTCTCTGTAGTTAATTTTTTATGTGGTATGGTATATTTATTTTAATGGGTAATTATTAGAAATAACTAGGTATGCAGAAATAGCATGCTCGTTTAAACATATATGACAAAACAAAAATAGAAGAAGAAAACACAACAAAAACAGAAGGAAATAACTAAAAAACTGTCATTTAAGAATGCTGATTTATGATCAAAATACAACATATAGTCTACAAATGTTTTAATGAAAGAATGTTAAGAATACTTGTCCTATTAATGCATTAAATATTTTATATATACAAGTTTCCTTTTTTATTATTATTTAAAAACTTTCGTTTTTCGTAAACAGTCATCCCTAGCTCAACTAGGAGAATATTCTACCCTACAAGTATAAAAAGACAGCATTTATTGATATTTTCGAGCATAATAATAAAATAAAATTAAATCTTAAATTCCATTCCTTTTTTTATTACTCAAGATAACACTGAATAAAGATTAATTATGATTAAATAATCTATTTTGATCATAAATATAACATTTCACATTACATAAAAATAAACAAATAATAATACCGGTAGCTTCAATGAGCATAACAGTGAGACTTAGGGTCATTCTAACAACCCCCCCAAGCTGAACGGCAGCTCCAATTAAGGCGAATTTGGAAGGGTTGGCTGCCCATATGGCGTGGGGAAATATCTTTTGTAATATTACACCTGATTATTTTGTTAAAAAATATATATTTAACGATGGTATATAAAGGTTAAAATAACTTAAATTTTTAATATTTTCTAATTTTTTATTATGAAATATTTTATAAAATCTATAAACTCAGAATAGACATAATATTTATAATAACAGATTAATAAGAAAGCAAGTAATATCTATACCGATTAATCTCCCCCAAGCAGCTCCTATCATTAAACAAGGAATAAAAATACCGCTGGGTACAGATATTCCAAACGTCCAGCATGCTAAGAAGAACCAGACAATTGATACATATAAAAGCCACCATGTGTTATATGTGCCTTAAATGTGTTAAATTACAATAAATGCATAATATTTAGAATATTATTATAAGTATAGCAATTTCGTTCTAAAATAGTGTCAATCAAAACCATTAAAATGAGAAAGATTAATAAGGTTTTCTGCAGACCGTTTTTAATTTCAATAAATTTTTTTAGGTATGTTATATGTGTATTAGTTATATTAAAAACAAAATTTTAGCTCATTATCAATTATGATACCTGAGATAATAGGGATTAAAGGTATTTTTTAAAGTTCTCATATGTTAAATCATTAATTTAAAAAACTAAATTAGTTTAAATATTTAATATTAGTAACTAAGTCAATAACTGATAATTAAGATGACAAAATCAAAATTGATTTTTAGGGTTTATCGATATTTTTTATCTTTTTTAAAATATCGGTTATAGGCCGATATTTAAATTTACCGATTAGATCCATAAAATGGCGTCTTAAATTAAATTTATTAATATTTAAAAAATATATATTTATGTGTAAATTAATATAATTGAAGTGATAATTTTTTTAAAAAAACTAACTAAATAATTGAAAATATGTTTTTGTTGTTATTGTAATTTTAAAAAGGGGTGGTAATTTATGGATTTATAAAGAAAAAAAAACATAAATTATTTTATAAACATAAAAAAATAGGGGGAAAACAGCAAAAAAACAAGGTAGATTGTATTTAAGCAGGCTTGAGTAGTATCGCAAATATTTATATCTTTTTGGGCTCTTTGCAAAAATATCTTGCATCTTAAATAATTTTTTTAAAGGAATGGCTATTTAACTATTTATGCAGATACTTTTAATTTTTCATTACTTTTTGATAATTTTAAATAGGAGTTTAAAAAAAATAAAATTTACAAAATATGTTGCTTGACGAAGCACACACTTTTTTAAGGACAAGGTTAAAGCCTTTGACCAGCCTTCAAATTCATCCTCTTTTATAGAAGAGGATGATTATTTTTGTTTTATTAATATATCTTCTAAAAATATGAGGTTAATGAAATTGAACTTGAAAAAAGACGTGTACACAATGGAGGGGGGAAATCCCCCACCCTAATTGCATTACTAGCAGAATGCAAACTATGGCATAAAAAGTTAAATATGGGCGATAATGTTCCAAAAAATGCTGCGATATATGCTTCACATAATTTCAAACACATTTTACACTATTTTCCTAATATATAAAAATTATTATATATTTTGGCAACTCTACCCATTAGTACTTCTGCCAATAAAAGAAAATTATTTTTTAACGAATAAATCTGAGTATTGTCAGCAGTGGCGTCACTAGGAAGAGGCGCGCAGGGGCTCAAGCCCCTGAAAAATTTGAATAGCCCCTGAAGCAAAAATTTTTTTAATGGCTCTTAATATCCCCTTGAACTAAAAATTAATTGTTTAGATTGCCCCCTGAACGATTTCTTTTATAATTCTATTATGTAATATATAGATTTTTTATTATTTAAAAATTAATAAGACTATCTAAATTTTCATTAAATGAATACTATTTTAATTATTCAATTAGATTAATATATATAAATTATATTTTCACTGTCAGCTTGCAATCAAATCCTATGTTAAAAATAGAATATCAATATCTCACTAAATATTAATTTAGCATTAACAGTTGAAGCTTAATTAACTTTTATTTTAAATTATTACATAACCCTAATTAAATAAATATAATCATTTATTAATTTAAAATTAACAAATTTAATATTGTAATTAGCCAAGTTCAAAATCACTAATCAACTATATTATTCATTTTTAAATTTAATTACCATGCCTCTTCCTAAAAAATATTTTCAAGGTCCAAATAAATATAGAAGATTTCTTTACAAAAAAGTAGACATATAGTTTATAATCCCCTATTGTGTATAATTGGTTATAAAATATTAGATAAAATGCCATTTTTACAGACGTATTTGACAGTTATATAATATATTACAGTTAATATTTTAATAAATTTTACTAATAAATAGTTTTGATAAAAAATTGAAGTATCAATTTGCATTAAATTATTTAACGCCATCTATTTAGTTAAAATATTATTAAAATTAAACGTCTTATTATTTATCCCACAATGGATGTAATAAATTAGATATCTTTTCTTCTCTTTTTTTACATTTTCTTCGTTGAAAAACAGTTTTGAGTTAAATTTTTAATACAAGTATATTTTTGATATTTTACAAACTACTATTATTTTAAAGTATAATATACCAACTCAAGGTGGTGCGACAATAATATATAAAATCTAAATTTTCATCATATCACTTTTGCTAAAATGTTTCATTTCTAATATGGCATCCTTGCCGTGAAAATAACTTAAGGCTTCAATATATTTACATAATTTCTTCTAAAGATTTTTAATGTTTTTGTTTTATCAATTTATCTAACATAATAAATTCTGATATGAGGTAACATCGTGAGTGTCATGGCTAAAACTGCATATTAACCAGCATCTATTATTAGTGTAGCAATGTAAGTTAAGATTATTACTACAGCTGCTGAGAGCATATGATTTCATATTTTAGATAAGTAACAATGGTCAACTGTGTAGTCGTTTATTTATTATTAAAAATGGAAGATAATCTTTTAGAAATTTAATATCTCACAATAATTTTCTCGATTACTTATCTAACTTCCATATCATCTAAGAGGAAGTTCTAACCACCATATAGTTTTATGATTTGGATTGGTCGTTTACAATCTCTTCTTCAAGAATTATTGATTTGGTTAGGCTTATAAATTTTTCCTTATTAGTCCATTCTATAAAATGTCTAAAATGATAACAGAGTTATATTAGATTCATGACCTTTTGTCAACGTAAGTTGCTAATATTATATTATGTGGTTTTTAAAAACTATTATCAATTGAGGCAGTATGAATTAATTTACCTTTTTTATCACTTGTAATTCTTTAGACCCAAAATATTTTAACATCAGCAATCGAAAATATCTTATATTGTAATAAATGACAAATTATGTAATTCAGAATAATTGTTCAGAGTTAGCAAATTTTAAAAATAATATATAATATAAAAGGGGCGAAGGCCGGGCAAAAACGAGCCTTAGGCCCGCAAATTAAAAATTTTTTTAGTTGAGCCCCCTGAAATTGAAAAGGCTAGTGACGCTCCTGATTGTCAGCCGGTTTTAAACGCGACTAATTCAATATTTTCGCCAGAAAAATATTGTATAAGCCTTAAGATTTAGCTAATAGATGTCCAAACCTTTGAGCTATCTATAGGCAAAATCTTTAGACTTGCGTAATATTTAATATTGAGTTAACTGTTTTTAAAAATCGACTCAAATCGAGCCGTTTAGCAATTGTAATAATATTTATTCACCATATTTTTTTCATTAATATTTTGTATGTTTATTTGTTACGCGGGATTGGTTTCACATATTAACTTCGCTTTAAAATTCTTTAGGATAAAAGTTTCGCTAAAAAGTATTTCGCGATATTGACCTAATACGAATTTCAAATGCTTAAATTTATTTATTTTACAAAATTATCTTTCGAGACATTATTTTATAGTGGATCCATAGGCCGAATATATACATTTAATATTTTATTATTCATTTATAACTGAATATATAATAGAAATTGTCAATATTTTATATTCAATAGTTCTTTAAATTTCTGAAACTTACGATATTCTTAAATAACTCCTATGATACTTTAAAAAAAATAATTATCCCTCTCCTTATAACGAATTCCTGCATAGACGCCTAATTTTAAATTATATTAAAGACGTTTTACTTATATAAGCACATAAAAAAAATAAGTATAACAATATTTTAGACGATACGGTTATTTAGCTTTGCAAACGTCAATAGTCAATTATTTGAAATATTAATTATAAAAAAATAATGATTATTTCTAAAGATAATGTAGCTAGGTATTTTTTTTATACGTATTATCACATTGTACTAATAAATTACTTTTATAATAAGTATTATCACATTTATAAAAATTAGTGTTTGTTTAACATTATGTCTTAATTTGATTAACAACAATGTCCAAAAAATAAAGTTTTACATTATGTCATTTTTTTAAAGTATCTAAGTGTCTGTATCTTAATACTTTTTAAAAAATTTTATCATGCATTTGTATCTAGTATTTTATTTAACTTTTGAAAAAGTATTTTTATCTATTTCTTAAATACTTTTCAAAAATTTGCAATAAAATATTGGTAGATTAAATTTTTCATTTAAATTTTAGTAGTATTAAATATTATTCCTTAACTCGATTTAAGTAACAAAGGTTTTCAAATACATAAAATAAGTAATCAAAAATTTTATAAAACAAAGTTCAACATTTATCTAAAATAAATAATCAACCTGGGCTATCATGTAAAAGACCTCTAATCCTTTGTTCTGCAGTTTGAAAGAACATGGTGGCAATCGAATTATATTCCCCGTCATTGCAAAACATCTTATTAATTAAATAAAAGTTCAAGTTAAGTGCGTATTTTAAAAAATGGCTTTTTCATATGGAATAGTGTTATTAAAAGTAGTTATATTTTTGGGCAAAAATAAGTGTAATAAGTTTATTTTTAGCATGTGTAAAATGTACATATATATCTCATTCATTATCTTATATGATCATTTCTCAAACTTAAAATTATTGTTTATAAAAATAATTTCTCACTTAAAGCTATGTAAAACATTCCCATAAAACGTTTGTTTAAAGTCTAAAGAAATTTATTTTTGAAAAACGGGGGTAGTTCTATTAGATACTAATTTTGAAAATAATTTATTTGTATATTTTTTTCAGTACAATTATTTATCCATTTAAATTGCATTGTTATTAATTTCTTTGATTAAAATTTGTAAATGGCAAAATTATTGTGTAAGATAAAAAAAAATTTATGTTAAAAATGAAAAGTTATATAAATGATTATAGTCACCTTTTTTAGAATATAACTTGTAATTGTAGGTTACTTTTCAAAAAGTAAACTATAACACTTATGTTGATTAAAAAATAATTTTTATTGAAATATTTTTTTTTCTCGAGATTTCAATTAATATTACGGTTAAAATTTTAAGAAGTATAAAAAAATTATTGAACAAATTTTAGCATAAATTCCAGTTATAACAAGTTATTCTAATAATTTTCTAATTTGTATTTAAAAAAATGAAGATCATAATAGTCAAACTTTAACTGGCCTAATAATCATATCTTGTAAGGGTGAACATGATTGAGAGAAATATATGAGGCTAAAAATAATCGAACACGTAATTAGGCTAACCAGTAAAACCTCAACCACTTTCATAAAAGACTTTGTGATGTGGCGAGTTCTGAAGAGGGTCATCTTTAAGTTTATATGATTAAAGATTGCGCCTAATATTCCTCCTGGCAAAATTATGTTTTTTTAAAAAAAATCAGAATATTTAAAGTATGAATGAGTAATCGAATTAAAATGAAAAATTATGCTAACAAGTATTATTAATAAACTATTATAATTGTAATAATATTCATCAATTCTTAGATGATTACCTATGATAGCCATGATAATAAAAATCGGAACTTCTTTGATACTGTAGTATATGTCATTAAGCTTGCCAAAATTAATCAAACCACTGTTGGATAATTCCCCAGGGTGGCCTCTGTACGCACTCATGATAACATTAAGGGTAAAAGTGGATGTCATGGATGCAAAGAATATTTTCCAGGTAAGAGCTTGATTCCAAAAAGAAGCACCTTCTTCCAGGCTCAATAATACTCCCCCTAACAATTTAAAAATAAATAAATGTATATTTGATTATTATGGTTAATTAATACTCGCGAGCTTTAAAATATATTTACTATAGATACACTGAATTCAATTTTTCGAAACATTAAAAAAAATTATGCAGTGTTTAATGTTTAAGGCTCAAATATCTCTGCTCTATGTTATCTATTTAAAATTTTAATGCCTGTGCTGGCTTAAAATTTTACGAAAAATCAGAGATTTGTCCTGCTGGATATTTTATATATAAATGACTGGTCCAATTCAAAAAATTTTTATGCATGATTTGCTCGGCCCGTTATAATTGTTGAAAAAAATTTCTTGCCCCGCCTGCTGGCTGGGCTTCGCAGATCTTTAGTACCTATTACATTTATGATATCTTGTTAGAAATCTTTACATAAAAATTATCATAACTAAAACACAAAATTCTAAGAAAAATTAATTTTTTCATTATACCACATACATATATTTTTATTAACGAATATTTTAATTTAATTATCCAAAGTATTGTGAAATAATATTGAATGGACCACAATTAAAATATTCAATAAACGATATATCATTATTAAATATATTATAAATAAATATAAATATCTTTTTTTTATTCTTCAAGTAACTTATCAACTAATGGCTCAAGTTAAGATATAAGATAAAATAACTCAAATTGATTAATTTGATCTTCTAAATAAAATTATTATTTTTATTTTTAATTGAAAAATAGAGAATTATCATATAAAAAGTATTAATTTTTTTCTACCCCGACAGAGATCTGTAAAGCCTTGGCCTGTTATAAACTTTTGCACAAGATGCCCAGCGCATAATATTTTTTGATTTGCCCAGCCCTCAGTTAAAATTTTACAAAATGTCAGGTCCGATTCCTTAAAATTTTAGGAAAAAGTCCATCCACGCCTATTTTTTTTGGACCATCAAATTTTTTTCAATTAAGGCTCTTATATCACTCCTCTATCGATTATTTTTACAATCCGTTTTAAATGTCAATTCTCATTGATATCTGTATTACATTTTGGTAATTCCATGACAAATCGAGCAGTGATTCGATAGGACCATCTCAAAAATGAATGAAACTTGGCATGTTAGTTAATTATGTTGTAAATGTTGATAAAATCAAAATTTTAGAGCACTAACTCAACCTTATCTAAAGATATACACCTTAAAAAGTCGCAAATCGCGCAATGAGTGATTCCATTAATTCTTGTTTTTTTTAAATACTTAAGATAAAGTTACAAATTATATATCATTTTATAGCCATTTTATAAGCATAAAAAAAAATTGAAAAATTTCAAATGTTTTCTTAATTCCGGTAAAAATAAAAAAATCAACATTGTTAAAAAGGGATTTTTGGGGGGTGCTGATATTCTCTAAAAATGTTTATTAAAATATTTATAAATAAAAAAGGTAATATAGATGACGCTATGTTTAAAAATTATTATAATATATTTAATTAAAATATGTATTGTATTGGTAAAAAATCGATTGAGTATAACCAATATGATGTCCGGGGGCAATAACGGATATTATTAGAACGCTATATTTTAAAATTTTATATACAAACTATTATTAAAAAAATACCTCTTGTTTTAATCTTATCCCATTTTGCGTTTATTGATAGAATTTCATGAAGCGATAATTTGTAGGTATGTTCGGTCAATGTTATTGAACCTACTATCTATATTACAATGTTGTGCAGATTTGATGGAAAACATTTCCATATTATTTTAATTTATATGCAAATAAAATTATTTGAGTTGCAAAAAATTGTTACAATAACATATTTATATATTCTTATCAATTTTTACAAGTTAAATAATTTTACTTACAAATAAATTAAAAAATATGGAAATTTTTCCATTAAATCTGCAAACCAAATGTATTGGATTAATGGGCAGCCATCTCTTTTCCTCAATCGTGGGTAAAAGAAGGATGGTGATGGTCCTTGGGAATATATAAAGAAATATATCCCTCAGTAATTTCATTGTTTATTACTGTAGCTAACTATCAAAAATCTTCATAAATATATGTGATCGGTCTTTTATATAGGACCACGGCTGGACCGATCTTTTCCTAAACATATATTTATGACGATTTTTTTCTGGTTGTTAGCCACAAAACTAAAAAAAGAAATTACTGAGAAGATATATATTTCTGTTTGAAATCCCCATAACACCACATCCTTCTTTTACCCCAAAATGTAGCCTAAGGAATTTCTATTAATTAGCGGAAAATGGACGATAAAGATAAGAAATATTTTTTTATAGTAGTTAGTATATAAAATTTTAAAATATGCTTATTTTATAATAGAGCATCCTAATAATAATCATATCCGTATGGGCTGCTTGATTACATACCGCCCCAGGACGTCGTATTTGTTAAAATCAATGGATTTTTTTTAAATTTTAATACCAATACAATAAACATTTTTATTAAATATATTATATTACAATAATTTTTAATATAACGCCATCTATATAATATATTTTTATTTATAAAAATATTTAGATAACATTTAAAAAAGAAAAAACGCAATCGATTTTTTGATTAAACAGTTAAATATAAAGGTAATAAACATTCCTGACACCCCCAAAAATCTCTTCTCAACAATATTAATTTACCAAAAATAAGACTTCAAATTTTTTAATATTTTTCAATGTAAAATTTTATAATTTGTAACTATATCTTAAGTATTTTTTAAAAAACAAGATTTAATGAAATCACGAATTGCGCGATTTTCGATTGAAGGCCTATATCTTTGGATCTAGTTGAACTAGCGTTTTAAAATTTTGATTTAACTAAAATATACAACATAGAATAACTATCATGCCAAGTTTCGTTCATTTTAGAGATGGTCGTCCAAAAATCTAGTTTTTTTGGTCGATTTGACGTGGAAATCCCCCATTTGTAATTGGACCATATTATAAATAACTTGTTTAATTTTTTGTAAATTTACTATATTATTTATAGATTTAGTATTTTAGTTAGACATATATTGTAATTTATTTTAAATAGTATAATCAAAATATTAGCTTGAAATAAAAAAATATATCAAAATTTTAATTCCCAGGCTTGCATATTAATATTTTACAAAAAATCAGCGTTTGCAAAGCCCTGTCTGATTTATATGTATAATATAAATTATCCAGCTTACTAAAAATTTTATGTACAACATGCCTGGCCTAGTCCATTGAATTTTTCCCCAGGAATCCCTGTTATAATTTTTTTTTTAATTTGCTTAGGACAGCCCACAGATCTGATTCCAATACACAAAATGTATTGGGATAAGATGAGGATACAATGAAGTTTCATGTGTATCGAATGGTATTGATGATAGAGTATTACAATATTTTAACAACTCTTGGTCATTTATTCCATGTCAAATCGATCAAAAAAAGCACATTTTCGGCCAACCCCTTTTAAATTGCTAAAAATTTATGGAATTATATAGATAAGCTAAAAAATGAGAAACCCATTTATTTTAGCTCGCTAGCACACCTTGTTATCGAAATATGGGGCTTCAAAGGTGCGAAAAATAATGACCTTTGAATCTGTAAATTTTTTTAAATGCTTTCTCAAAAACTATTATTATAGCAAAAATAAATATAATATATCATATTGTAGATAAATCTTTAAAAGTCTATCATATGGAAAAAAATTAGACACCAATTTGAGTCTTTAACTTCAGGTTAACCTATATTGCCTTACCCGTGATTTAAAGGAACAAGGCGAGTTGGTTTTCGAAAATTTATTTACCTTTTATTAAGATATCTTTATAAATATATAAGTACGATGTGAAAACCTTAGCGACGCTATCAGCTCATCCGAAATAACATTTTTACCAAAAATTAGCATTTTTATTTGCATAAAAATAGATAACACCATATGAAACTTATAATTATATAATTATGTTTTATACTAAAATATTTTGAATTTCTGGGCCTTTCCATGTCAAATCTATCAAAAAGGCCCATTATCGGCCGGCCCCTTTTAAAATTGTTAGAATATTCTGGAATTATTTATATAGCTAAAAAATTAAGAAAGACATTTATTTTAGGTCACTAGCACACCTCGTTCCCGAGATACTGAACCGCGAAAAATTGCTAATATCTCAAAAACTTTTTAAGGTATGAATTCTATTAAAAGAATTTAAATGAAGGATGATATATCACCTTCAGGCAGATTTTGCTGAAAATTATGCCTTCGTGGTTCAGGATGAAGTACAAGGATTTCATTTGAATAAAGCACGAATTGCCATTTATCCTTTTGTGATTTATGACAAGACATTTATTAATTTAAATCATTCAAGTACGTAATAATATAGGAGTCTCTCATTCATAATACAATTTTTGTTCCAAAAATATTTAGTCCGCTACTTAACAGAGAAATTTAAAGCCGCCCAAAAAAATTCATCAACTTTTCAGATGAAACAGCATCACACTATAAGAATAGCAAAAATTTAATCAATCTTTGCCACCATGAAAAAGATTTCGGAAAAAACCTGAGTGGCATTTCTGAGCCACATGGCAAATCGGCATGTGACGGAGTCGGAGGTACATTTAAACGTTTAGTAGCCAGGATTAGTTTACAAAGACCTGTTTCAGAAAGAATAACTTGTTATAAAGAGTTTTTTCAAATTCAACAAAATAGCAAATATTACACAACATTTCACTCTTATAGTAATGCGACTTTAATATATGAAAAAATAAATGGATATATAACATGTATCTATGACAACCAATTGTTATCATTAATAAAATGAATATATTTTTTTGAAAATTTGATACATTATTAAAAATCTAAGGGGCATTTGCCCCCATTTCCCTTAGTTTAATGATACATTAAATATAAATTTGAAATATTCTGTTATCGGTAAGTTAGCAACAAAATTTTAACCATAATCTGCAATTTCGTATGGCGCTATTTTCAATTTTTGCTAAAAATGCATATTTCGAGTGCCGATTTTGTCGCCAAGGTTTTCACATCCTATATATATTTAAAAAAGTGTCTAAATAAAAGGCAACAAAAATTTTTCGAAAAAAACTTGCTCAAAAATAAAAGTAAAGCAATTTTAGTAAACCGGAAATTAATATCTCAAATTGCCATATTTTTTTTCTTTCTATAGACCTTTAGAGATTACTTTTACCTACAATATGATATATTCTATTTATTTTTAATATAAACAGTTTTTGAAATAAATTTTACAGATTCGAAAGTCGCTTTGTTTAGCACATCTCGGGAATCAAGTGTACTAGTAAGCTAAAATAAACGGGCTTCTCATTTTTTTTAACTTAATTCCAGAAATTCTAAATATTTTAAAAGGAATAGGCCAAATCGTGATCGATTTGACATGGAATGTATCCTCTGCTAAGCGTCAAAGATATGCTATGACCAAATAAGGTAAGCTGTAGCGGCAACCCTACTGAAGCAACTAATTAAGTATTCGCCCACAATATTATCTGTAAAACTAAAAATTAAACTGAATTGTAAAAATATAGATAATATTATAAACTATGATAAAACATACCCACAGGAGCTCCAAAGGCTGCAGATAAACCAGCTGCTGCCCCTGCAGAAACAAAATCTCTTTTTTCTTTATCTGTTCGAAAGCTTTCAAAAATTTTTAAATCCAATTTTAGAGTTGAACTACATCCTTGAGACACCCCTGCTCCTATAATTGAACCTATATGTATCATTGGACCTTCTTTTCCAATAATTAAACCACTTGATATGGCACAAATAATTCCAAAAATCTGGTGTATAAAATTAATTTTGTAAAAATAAATTAGAAAGAACATATCAGGGCATTTAAAGTAAATATATATACCTCCCCAATTCACCTAATTGAATTTTAATCTTTATATTTTATGCTTTATTTTATATTTACAACATTTATTTCAATTATAATATATTTTCATTACCAGCAATCAACCAACTTTACATTTAAAATAATCATTGATATTTATTACAAGCTATCCTTCTAAATCATAAATTTTTATTTAAATAAATAAAATATAGATAGGCGCGTAACTAAGTGGGGATCATCCCCCCCCCTCCCAGTAGCAAATTTGCCTATTGTCATAATAAAACATTGGATTAATTTTAAAAAAAATTTCAATAATATTTTTTTACTTATTTATAATATATATAACCATATATTCCAATCAAACTATAATATAATACAATAAAAATTCGTTCTATAAAAACGGAGGTGGGACTACAAGTTCCCCAAAAACATGAATAATTATATTTTATAATGGTAATTTGAATATTTTGTTTTAAAAATAATATTCTTTGGGTACTGATGTAAGGGCTCTTATTTTACCGTTTATATCTATTTAAAATTTTAATGTTTAGCTTGACATATGTTTAAGGGAAGAGATAACGATTGGTAAATAAATATAATTTTATACCAACCAGGTTAGATTCAGAGTTGTTAAAGTAGCGAGCTACTTGTAGCGCGCTATCTTTTTTGGTAGCTATAGCTAATAGCGGCTACCTTTTTTGTAATTATTTTATTTTTTAGCGCGCTTTTTTGAAAGTAGCTAAGTAGCGCGATAAACATGAAAATTTAAATATATCATAATTAATTATAATTTTTATGATTTATTATTTAATTTTGAAATTGAAATATATTTTCAATTTGTAATTTATATTTTCATTTTTATTATAAACCTAAATCGCGTGTTAATAATTTAAAATGTCATCGCCTATGGATATCCAATTCATTGAAAGTGATTCAGACAATGATACTAATGAAATGGAAGATAACAGGGAAAAAAATGTTCTTAATAGCTATAATACCAATTTCCCATTCCCTAGATTTGAAATTTTTTTTTAAATAAATATAAAAACCAAAACTGGCTTCAAATTTATTTGTTTAAAATGTAAAAAAAATATTTCCTCAAATCAATCCAGTTAATACCTAAAGGTAAATTGTCATTATTACATTCTAATAGTATTTATTTTATAAGACTGTTCATCATGCTGATAGTTTTAAGGAAATGGAGAAACATCTAAATAATTTTGGTATAGGCGACTCTACATCCAAAAAGAATAATTCAATTCAAACCAAATTAATTAATAATACAAATGCCAATCTTTCTCAGAAATTGGCTGATAAAGTTATTGATTTTATAATTGGTACATTTCCAATGTCCTTGGTTGATAATCCATGATTTACCATGATGATTAAAACTCTATCCCCTGGTACAACAATTTTATGTCGCCAGACACTAATGAATAAAATAGCAGATAACTTTAAAGTGATGAAAGATGCTCTAATAGTAGAGTTATCAGAGATATCTTATATATGTATGACGACAGATAGTTGGACACATAACACAAGGTAAAAACTTATAAAATGCAACAAATTACAATATATTTTTATTACATAAATTTTTTTATAATCAAAACTAACTATATTTAAATATTTATAAATGTTAATTTTTATATATTTACTATACAATAACATTATAAGCAAAAAATAAAACAAATTTGTTTCTAATTTTTTTATAAAAAGTAGCTAATAGTGTGCTACTTTTAAAAGTAGCGATTAACAACTCTGGTATTACATTTTTTGGAAATGAAGAACCTCATGTGAAGTCCCAAATTAAGGATTTACCCAAGGTACAGCATTTTAAGATATATTATTGATCCATCAGTTTTTTTAAAATAGGGATGTACCGATATTTTTAATCGAATCGGGCCAATACTTAATCTTTTAAAAAATTGGTTATCGGCTGCTATTATAAAATCGTCCGATCCAATATAAATAAGTGATTTATCAATAAAAATACTTTATTTTATATATTTAGATTCATGAATATAAACTATAACTGATTATTATAATATATTTAAATGACTTATGTTATGGTGTAGTTAAATTATAGATGTTATACTATTATATAAATATGAGATGAGTAAATGTATATAGTGACGCAAAAGCTCCATTTGAGCTGATTTTTAAAAATGGCTTTATTCAGAAAAATATTGTCTAAGCCTCGATATTTCGCTAACAAATGTTCAAAATTGTGTCATCTTATCATCTTAGTCTCGATCGAAGTTTAATCTTAGGATAACTCAGTTTCCAAAAAAAAATATACCCTTGCCTCAAGGCTGAGTAAATTTTTCAAATGTTAGATTCATACCTTGTGCTGCAGTACTGCCGAGTATGAAAGGGGCTTTGAATTGATCATGGTAGAAAAATCAAGATTAAGAGTAAATAATTTGTTAAACTTAATGTTCATAATTATTAATAGACCTTTAATATCGAAAATTCCAGATCCATATATCAAAATATTTTTAAAAAATCATCAAGGGGTGAATAAAATAATCTGAATAAAAAATACAGCCCAAAAATAACTAAGTAAAAAAATTTATGGCAATTTTTTAAATTTATATATATTAGTAATAAATTTGTGACATTCAAATATCACATAAATAATTTATACATATAAATAAAAAAAAATCGCTTTTATATATACGATATTCTGATAATATCCTCCTGCCAAATTTTTAAGCTACACTACTGATTTTAAGCTGATAAAAAAATTCCTCCTGCACACCCCCCTTTTCCCCTAAGAATGTATAAATTGTATCACTATAAAGAAGAATTTAAAAGGAAGATGATTAAAGTAGGGGTGTACCGATCATTTTTTGGTGGCCGATCCGATCCGATATTAATTTAATATCGGCCAATTACCGATCCAATATCATATATAATTTGTATTCTGTAAAGATACCAATTGTTTTAATTTTTAATATATTTATTAGTATAACATCTATAATTTAACTATACCATAACATATGTCATTTAAATATATTATAATGATCAGTTATAGTTTATATTCAATTCAATTGCAACTCTAAAAGTATATAAAATATTTTTATTGATAAATCACTTATTTATATAAGTAATAACATTAATCTATTTACTTAATAAGTAATAAACAAATATATTATGAAATTTGAAATAATTAAAATAAATATTTTGAAGATTTCTTTTTAGAAATATCAAAATTTTCAATTTATCAGAGGTCAATCTGTGGCAATGGGGACTCCAATTTACTAAAAACAGATTCTGAAGAGATTATCGCACACTTCTATAAACAGAATGCGTAATGGCAGAATGTTTATTAATTAATTATTATTATTAAAAATTAAACATAAAATGAATTTAGATTTTATTTATAAAAATAAATGGTTTTTAAGTTTAAATTGTATTTTTGTTGATCGGATTGGAAAATTTTTATAATATTTGTTGAATGAAATATTGGCCCAATCTGATCCGATAAAAAATATCGGTACTTCCCTAGATTAAAGGTTAAAAACTTTTTAAAATAATGGCTAATAATTCAAAATTTTTAGATAAAAAGGCATTTTTATAAAAAAAAATGTAAAAATCCAAATTTTTTTTATAAAATTCTAATATAAGTACTGTTGTTAAATGGCTCAATCAAAAACAGCTAACCCAGTATTTTAACCAAGAAAAATACAAGCCTGGAGATTTTAATCATAGATGGCAGAAAGGTTTGAACATATATTAACAAAATCTTGAGGCATGCATAATATTTTTTAGGAAAAATATTGGATTAGTCATTTTAAAAATTGAGCCATTTAATAACACTAAATATATCCAAAGGCTTCAATAAGTTGATCTAGTTCTCCAATAAAATTTATGGGGAAAACACCCATCTACTAGTGCTCCATCCTCCCACTTAGCAAAATACTGGATACCTTATTTGTGTTGTTAAATGGCCAATTAAGATTTTAGACAATATAATATTATGAGGACATATTTTGGCTAAAATATCAATTGGGCCATTTTTAAAAATTGACCCAAATTGGGTTGTTTAACAACACTATGCCTATGTATGTAAAATAAATAAGAATAAATAATTAATAAACATCTTTGAAATAAAAATCATCATGATGAATTTTGAACATATTATATATAATTACCTTAATTGTTAAAGTTTTCAGCCTAACTATATTTGGAATCTTAACCCCATTCAAAAAGCATTTTATTTGTGATATTCCACTTCCACTTGCCATAGGTTCAATATACACCACTAATAATACTGGAAGAATTACAAATAATAACCCAAATGCTATCCATAAAAAATAAGGTTTCATTATAAATGAAGTAAATATATCAGTTGTTTTATCATAAGGTAAAAAAGGGTCAATCGAAAGATTTTGAACCATATTATCCAATCTATATTTCATAATTATATATATTCCTTCTGTCAAATAATCAATGGCAATGTCTATAATACAGGCTATTACTGCTGTTAAAACTCCTATTAACAGCATTACTAACCACCTTTGAAATTGAATGCATTTTACATCCTAAAACTTATTTAAATAAGAATTTCAATTTAAATAAAACTTTAAAAGTTAATTTTTTTTCTGAACTTAATACCAAAGAGTTTTCGCATGGATCATAATCAAGACTCTTAAAATAAATTATATACATATTAAATTTGTATCCATATATTACCTCATATTTGTCTGATAATAAAGTTTTAGGATGCTTAAAATCTTTGGATAGAGGTTTATTAAAAATGCCATAAGAATATGTTTTTAATAGAGGCTAAAATGTTTAAATATAATTTTATATATATAAATAACTATTTACAGAGTCAAATAGAGCTTTATTTGTTTTCTCACGTAATTTATGATAGGTATCGTGAAAGAATTCTGCTCGTGGTAGTTGGGAAATCTTTGGTCGAAAAGACATATTGTCTAAGGGTAAAAAATTTTGAATATCAACAGTTTTATTTTCATTTAATATTTGAAAACCTTAAACTAGTATATTGAAATCGTAAAATTTACGTGATAGGTAATATCAATGACATATAATTATATGTCATTGGGTAATATATATATATAATATGGTAAATATGTTGAATGCATAAAACCTTAACAGATTTTAATGTCAATCATCTTTAAATTTACTTGATTTTTTAAGATGTGCTTAATATTTTTTAAAATCTTCCATTTTATTTAATTTGAATAAAAATTTGATTTAATAAAAAAAAATTTATGTTGGGTTCGGTTTTACAGCTGTATGAATTGAGAATACAATAGAACAACTAGTTTAACTAGAGATCTGCAAAGTTAGGCCCGGCCCGTACCCGGCCCAAGTCCAGTCCGGGGCTCAAGCCTAATTCTATTTAAAATAATCGGGTTCGGGCCGGGCCGAGTTTAATATTTTTAAAAAAATTCGGGCCGGGTCAGGTCGGACCTTGGAAATTTTATTAAATATATCTAAATTTATCAATTTTATATTGAATTTTTTATGTAAAATAAAAATCAATTTGACCTTTTATAATTTTACTTTTTATTACTTATTAATTATTATATTACTTATTTTATAACTTATTGTATTACTTTTTGTTTTTGGATTCATATTCCTATATATAGAAATATATATATATATTGTTAACATTTAAAAAGAGATATAGAAATAAAATTACACATGGAATTTTTATTTTCGTATTTTTTAATGTTGGCTCACTTTTCAACTACAAATATTTAACTAGCATCTTCTAATATCAATTATAAACCTCTTGATATCATAACTTACACCTGCAACAAAAAACAGGATGATTTATATTTCAAAGTGTAGTTAATCGATAACAAAATAAACAATTTGGGTAAATGGTGCTCTTAGACTATGTGGCTCCTTTGACACACTTTCTCCAGTGGACGCGGTGTCATACCAAAGACTACTAGACAAGCATTCCCAGACACTGGAAGCTATAATGATTTATGAAACTAAGAACCCTTCTCCGATTTTCACTTCGGAAAAAGTATTTAAATCAGTGAGATCTTTTCAGAAGGATGCGGCTCATGGATTTGAAGGTATCAAACCTTTATTTCTTCAAGATTTAACTACTCCCATCCTCAACAGTCAAACATCTTTATTGGATAAAATAACTCAATTATACAACAAGGTCATTAATGGTGAGTAGAAAGATTTCTCAAGGGCCCTCTTTTTTATAGCCAAACTTGTCGCCCTAAGAAAAAAGAATGGGGATACTAGGCCTGCCGTTGGTGCTGTATAAAGGAGATTATGTTCCAATCTTATAGCTAGCAGGATTTTTGCACAAGTTTCTAACATACTTCTTCCTCTACAATAAGGTGTTGGAACGAGCTCAGGATGTGAAGAGGTTGCACATATCTTGTATTTATGCTCAGAATGCTACAATCGCTCAACACATTGTTAAAATTGACTTTAGAAATGCTTAAATTAGCATTTACAGAAAAGTAATCATTTCACAATTCATAAAACATTTCCCAGCTTTTACAAACTATATCCTTTCATTCTATAAAAAAATCATCCCATTTGGTATTTGGCCATTATATCTTAGCCTCTTCTAAAGGTATACAGAGTGTCCCCCTAGGCTCCTTATTATTTTTTCTGGGTATTCATGATTTGATCACTAAAATAAAAAATGACTGCTCGCTACCTCTACATTTATAGTAAATTGATGATGGGGTCATCTCCGGCGACTCTGCTGAGGTGGAAAAGTCTATTAATATTATTAAGGCTTCCATTGACAGTTTCGGACTTGTAATTAACCAAACCAAAGCCGAATATTGTGATATTAATAAATTTCCATTTAACGTTTTTGGCTTTAAACATGTCCCCTTGAAAGTTTTATCGCATTTGGGCTCTCCCATTGGTGAGTAGTCAGTAAATTCTTTTTTTTAGTGATATGGACGATATATTTGAAAATTTAAAACGCATTCTTCCCTGTCTCTCGGCTAACAAGGTTTTTTTTTAATTCGGAATTTCTTCAACATCCCTAAAATTCTTTAAGCCCTACGATCGAGCCCATTATTTTTACAGTGGTTGCATCTGAAAAGATTTTAAATCAAAATAAGAGTAATTTTTATTGACTGCTTAAATATCAAGTTTAAGACATTGCTTGGCATCAAGCCAAACTTCCTTCCAAACATAGTAAACTTGGTATAGGGTCCCCATTGTCGATTTCAATATGTGCGATCATTGCTAGCCACCTTCAGCATAGACTAATCGACCCTGTCAGTCCACGATCTATTTTTGAATAAAGCTAAAATGGAGGAGGCAAAATCCATGGCAACCACAACAATATTTCCGATCTCTGTAAAACAGAAGGATTGGGATTTACCACTTGTGAAAAACTCCGTTGATTACCTTATTTCGAGTCCATCAATATTGGGCTAGTTCTACATTCATTGAACTTATCAAGGATCGGGGATATTAATTTTTAGATGTTATTCCATCTAGCAATCTTAAACTTGAATTGGACAATCACGAGCTCAGCTATGCTTTATGTACCAGGCTCAAAATTCCGTTTCATTACCATATAAATGCAGCAAATGTCATATTGATGTTGACAATATGGCGCTTCATCCTTTACATTGCAAACGTAATCCCAGTCGGCAAACCCAGCACTCGAGTTGCAATCAAATCATATCTCTTGCACTTAGGTCAGTTGGTTTTCCTACCACATTGGAGCCTACTGGTCTCTTTCCCTATGGTAGGCGTCCTGATGGAGTTACACGAATTCCATGCTCACAAGGAAAGTTTATAATATGGAATTTTTCTTGTTTGGACACGAACTCCCCTTCCAATTTTAACAAGGATGCTCTGAACAGAGCTCAGAATTTTAGGATCACCAAATACAGCGCGGATTCTTTTAATTACATATTCATACCAATCATCTGCTCCACTAAAAGATTTTTTAAAGACGTTGGCCGCCTAATCAGGAAAAATTCTGGAGAACCTCGCGAAGGCTTTTACTTAAGGCAGAGGATCGCAATAGCTATTCTTAAGGCTAAAAGAGGATTTAGAATAATTATGCTGTTTTTATTTAATTTATTTTGTATTTTACATTATTTTTATGCTCAAAATTGTCTTTTTGTTATTATGATTAATTTTTTTTCTAATTCGTAAAACTTATATAATAGAAAAAAATTGCATATTAAAAAAGTAAAATATTTATATTAAGAATAATATCAAAAATTTTCAAAAATTTGTAAATGATAGCTTTCATCTTCTATTAATTCAATTTTATGTATCAACTTTCCGATCAATTTGATGTTATAAAATTTAGGAGATAATATAACCTAATGTTAAATTTTTTATCTATCCACCCGACCGATCCGGCCCGACCTGTTTTAGATTGAGATTTGACCTCTGAAAATTTTTTACCAACGACCGGATTTAAATCCGTGCTCCCCCACCTCGAAGGAAAAATGTCTCTCTTAATGCCCCTCACATATTATAATATAAGTAATATATTTCTTATTTATTAAACAAATGTAATACTTTTTTATTGGTTAACTTTCCAATATTTTTGAATTATTTTTTTACCTAATGATATATCGGCTTACTTTATCTTATGCAATTTAATTGAGTTAATTTTCTTTGAAATTTTTTGTATTCTTTTTCATAAAATAATGATTTTTATTAAAATATCCGTTTAATATATTTAACATTTATTAAAAAAATATATCGCTATAAAACTAATTTTGTATTTATCCTTTGTGATTGTAGATTAATCAGATCCAAACCCATATTATCGGAGGAATGTGTTTGTTTTTTATGCATACAAAGGTAAATTATGATTTAATTTTTCTAGAAATTAAAAATAAGCCTTACCATTACAAATTACTAATATCTAACTTTTATACACAGTGCAAGTAGTAGTGTTGTTAAACGACTCATTTTGAGCCCATTTTAAAAAATGGCTAACTCAATATTTTAGCCAAAGAAATTTTGTCTAAGGCTCGAGATTTCGCTAAAAGAAGTCTAGACCCTTGATCCATCTATGAGTAAAATTTTCAGGCTTGAGTAATATTTTCTGGATAATATAATGAGTTAGCCGTTTTTAAAAATCGGCTCAAATCGAGCCGTTTAACAACACTAGCAAGTAGAGTGTTGTAAATATATACACATTCAAATTGAACAGATTTATTAATAAAATTCGTTTTTTTGAAAAAACATGATGAAAGGTAATCTTTTTATTTTAGACGAATTTTGAAATTAAGTATATTCCTTTTTTTTACGTTCATTTCTTGCGCTACTTTTCTTTTATTCAATTTTAAAAGTTAAGCACTTTTTTTTAATCCCATTTTAAAAAAGACGAAGTTTGTTTTTTAATGATTTATCTTAAAGGTATCATCGCCCTTGGCTGCCAAAAGTCTCTCCCCAGGTCTGATTAGATCCCCTTTATTTTAAAGTATGAATAATAAATGAACCTAATTTTGATAAACGATGGTTTATTTTATCTCTTATTTTTTTAAGGTATAACAAGTATATATTTTTTTTTCGGTCATGGGTTACTTTATTTGAATATTTACTGATTATATATTTTATTTTAACATATTATTTTAGAGGCTTTAGGTTAATATTTTTCACTTTTAACGTGTTTTTTTTATGTATCAGCTAAGGCGTGGAATGACGGGTAAATCAGAGATTTTCCCTTCATTTGATGATGGACAAATTAGAAATTTTCCTATCTAGTGAGGTATGAACTATAAAATATAGTTTTATTTTGATGAGAGGTGGTTCCTAAATTTTCTATACTTTAAAACCAAATATTTGAAATCACCATTATTAGTTATAAAAATCACAAATAAATATATATTTTAAAAAAAATCAGGGTCATGCCGTGCAAATAGCACCTCTGCAGGTCTCTGGTCTTGCTTAACCAAAAAATTCCTCTTTAATATGAAGGAATAATAATTGAGAAACTACAATGTTATTTAAATTGTTACTTGAATTAATTTCCGTTTTTGTAAGATCGTACAATAAATTAATAATAAATTTCTAAAAATTTACGTTTATCAATTTATTTTAGCCTAAAATGAAAGGAAGGAAATAATAATATTCATCAAATAAACCTAAAATTTTGCAAGAAAATTATTTAAATAAAATATTAATTTATGTTTAAATGGTTGCAAATTATTTAAAAATGAGTGCCTTTTTAAAATAAATAGGGAGCTAGTTGCTTTAACACCCAGAGCACTTGACGCCTCTGGATAAAAAATATACATTTAATACATGAGTTTAATATATATATAGTTAAAGGATTTGATTTTAATTAATTGAACACGTTCAATAAGGAAATAAAATAATTTATTAATATAGCTTACATAGGGCATTCAAAAACTAGGCCAAGTGCCGCGTCAAATAGAGGTTGTAAATTTTAATGGGAAAGATTATAAAATTTTTACAGGCTTAGGAAATGAAGGATCTGGTTGTTACTATTAATTGAAATTAGGCAAAATTGATCTAGCGTTTTTTACCAATAATATGTATTCATTAATCCTTACAATTTTGCTATATTATATATAGTTATTAAATAGTTGATTTTGTAAGATCCCGGCCCTAGGATCTAATAATTGACCAAACCAGCTCTGAGCAAGAACACTGAGCTCAATTCCCGATTACGAACCCTGAATAAAAACCTTGAGCTGAGTCCAAGTATAAACCCGGAAAACAAACCCTGAGTAGAGACCCCGAATGCCGCTTCGAGCACAAACCACAAGCACGATACACGAGCACAAACTCTGATCACAATCCTGGAGCAATCTTAAGCACAAACAAGTACAATCTCGGGGCAAGCACTCTCTAGAATACACAAACTCCAAAATATTTTTTATTCTTGTTTTTTGGAAATTAAATAATAAATCTTGGACAAGAAAAAAATAACTCACAATTAAAAAAATGTTTCTCCTAAAATTTTCTAATACTTAAAAATTTAGAAATATTGGGTTAATATAATTGGGCAATTAATCTATTTTTAGTCATTTTATTAAAAATTTTTTACAAGCGAATATTCGAAAACCTAATATTAGATGACAATTGTAAATCAAAAATTTGTTTGAAATAAACTGCTGAATTAATTAATTAATTTTTACAATACCAAAATTCTAGCTGTTTGATTTTTATTAACAATTAAATGGCGTCTGAAATCAGGAACCTTAACCCAAAATTTTTATCCTTGGTTTGGTTTAAAAAAAATTACTGGCATGCCTCAAAAACAGCTTTAAAAAAAGTGTTGTTTGGAAATGGCCTTTTAAAATATTTATCTAAGCGATTTTTAAAAGTGTTAAAAATCTAAGTGTCATAAAGATATGTTTCCCAAATTCTAATCGTGAGAGCTATTAAACATATTAGGTTATTAAAAAAAATTAAACATTACAATAACAGTTGATTTCATAATAATTGCTTTTACATCATTAAATTAAAATTAAATTTCTTTTAGTGCCAAATAATTTTTGAAATTTAGAAAATTTAATACTATTTTATAATAATTTAAAAATATTTTATAAACACTATTTAATATTTTTTCAAATTTAGCCGCAAATAAAAAGTCTCTCAGGAATTTTCGTTTCAATCATGTGATTAAAAAAAAATAAAAGTAATCATGATAAGGAATTATGTCGGTAAATTTAAATTGTTCGAAAGTTGGGGCAAACGGCTTGACGCAAAGAAATTCATTTTTTTAGTGCTTCTGAGCATTAATTTGTAAAGCCTATCATTTTTAAAGCATTTATACTAAAAATCATATATATTTATTTTAATTTCATATATATAATTATTCATTCTATAATCAATAAATATTTTGTCCAAAATAAAAAAAAAAATTTCAATCCTTAATTCTAAGGATAACTGTGCATGATTGATAATGAATTGTGTATGTGTATAGTTCAATATGAACATCCATATGCGACTGGATTATATACTGTGCCAGGGGCGCAATATTGAAGCGTAGGTATGGCATTCAAATCGCACTGGATAAATGAGTAAATTGAATCAGGATTGGGATGGTAAAGGATGTTGGCCTGCAGCGATTCCGGCGTGCAAGGATTGTAATCTGTCATATAAAAACTCGTGTAAATTTAAATTACGTTAAAATTATTTTACCTATATTTGGGCCTGGAAAATATTTTCCTGAAGCTACATCATAAGAATCTACTCGTGGATAATAAGTTAGTAATAAAAGTGTACTGATTACGTATAAAAATATGTAACTCATTTTTTTTAATCTTATCTTTTAACGAAAAAATTATTATTATTTATAAAAATAACTGTATAAGTGGTGATAAATATAAAATTATTTGATATTTATATGACAATTTATAATATGCAACATTATTCTAATAAAAGAATAAAGATTTATTTACCACGGAATATTCAAATCATTAGGTTTTACTCCAAAAAACCCTATAGTTATTCAAAATATACTCATAAAATAATCTTTAGCCTAAATTTGAATAAGAAGGGTTAAAAAATATTATCAAATGCAGAATTTTTAATATAATAAATTATTATTCGATATTTTTAAAATTAAAATGCAAATATGAATATTTAGGCTAAACACCCCTAATTTGATCATGTCTAATATTTGAGCAAAGCCTCTTTTTGGGCATGCCCAAACTCTCATGTCTGGATAATATGGCCTTACCATTATTTACAACGATATAATGAATGAACAGTTTGTTTTAAAGAATAAAAAAATTGATTTAAATTTGCATAGATAATTTTTTTTGTATGCCATAATTTGAATATTGAGATTTGAATTTATTCTTAATTATTAAAAAATATTTATTAAAATTTAGGTTTTCAAATAAAGGGCTATAGTTTTATATCAATTTCATGGCTAATTGTTTTTTATAGAATCAATAGACTTTGTTTATGGTTGTTTCATAAAGGAACTAAAAAAATAGCTAAACAAGTATATTATTTTAAATAGGAGGCTAAAGAAAATATAATATAAGTATATTTTTGACATCAGTTATTTTTTAAATAATTTAATGTGTCATTTTATTATATACTTAATTTAGGTATATGATTTAATCTCAAACTTGACCAGGTTAAGTTGGATTTTTACTTTTTGTTCAGTTTTTTATAGGAATTTTTTATCGGAATTAGAATGCCTTATATTTATTATCAAAAATAACTCGCATACGTGATACACCTTAATGAGTAGAGAGATGCTTTTTTTAAGGATTCAATCATTCTTATAAATTTATATACATTCTCTAAAAATTATATTTTGTTGTATACAAATTTATTTAGTTGATAATAGCTATATTCTTAGGTTTTCTTTTCCAAAAATTATAAAACCGAGTTAGCCAGAAATTATTCTCAGACATAAATTTAATTTTGCATTCGAAATTCTCAATATTTAACATTATTAATCCAAATTAGAGATCTGCAAAACCAAACGCCTAGCCAGTTTTGGCTCGTTAAAAGTTTAAAACAGATTTCCCGATCTGGCATAATTTTTAACCGACTAAGGTCCACTCAGCTCTCTAAATTTTACGAAATGAGTACCCCGGACCGTTAAATTTTTTTATACAAATTTTCCGGTCATCTTATTTTTGATATCTATATCTAATTTTTTCCTAATGTCAACTAAGACTCTTATATCGCTCCTCTATAGCCTATTTCTACAACAACTGATATCTGATAACTAATGGGTTTAGTATTTTAGTTAGACAGCTCTTAAAATACAAAAAATAAGAATATTTTAATTTATTTTCAAACTCATTATCAAAATATTCGCTTGAAATTTAAAAAATTATCAGAATTTTAATCCCTGGATTGGCCTATTAAAATTTTGCGAGGCCTCCCTGATTTTTGCGTATAATTCGTCCTTTCCGGTCCGAATTTTTATGTACAAATTCCTTGTTTGGCCCGGCCTGTTAATTTTTTGCCTAGCCCGTTATAATGGATGGGTCTGGTTTTGCAGACCTACAAAATTTTAGATGTCGATAATTCTTGATGAATTAGATAGTGTCTCTTCTTTAAAAAAATTCCTCGGTATGAGCCCTCGGTATGGGCCTGTGCCATAGGCTTGGCCATGGGGGGGGGGGGGGATTTCGAAAATTTGCCCATTCTTGTGAATATCAATTTAAGCTAATAAAAATATTTCTCTTAGTCCCTTATCCATATTTCCCCAAAAAATGTAAACAGTATATCACTATTAAACAATTATTTGAAAGAAAAATAACTTAAAGGTCTATAATTTTTTTAAATGGCTATAATTATTTTCAGAAGAAAATACATTTTTATAGAAAGAAAAGTGAAAATCCAAATTTATTCTTTAAAATATGTTACCAGACGCGTGATCAGAAATTCGCTGTGTAGTAAGGGTGGGGGGGGGGGGGAATATTTATTTAAGTTTTATTAATTTTTGACAATTTAAAATACAAAAATTGAAGTATAAACAATGTCTAAAATATTAAATGTATACAATGGCTTATAATTATAAAATAAATGTCTCAAAAAAGAACTTAGTTTAAAAAAAAGTATAATTTTCTAAGCATTTAAAATTTGACCCATTAATTTAAATTCTATCAACAAAGTTGGAAATATAGATTAATGCATAAATATATTCTTGAGAATTATGGCACATATACCTCCTATTGTGAGTTGCAGTTTTAGAATCTGAAAATATATTTGTTACCATTTTTATTTCTAATATTATAATTGATTTTTGCACCCAATGATGCCAATTGATGCCATTATTTAAATATATACATTGTAAAATAATTTGAACTAAAATTTTTACATCCAAGGAGTATATAAATAAAGATATTATAAAAAAAGATCATTTTAACAAGTTGAGTTTTAAAGGGTTAATATATAATATAAAATCTGAATAAACTTATCAAATATACAAATAATTTAATAAAATTAGAAAATAGAATAGACTTAATAAATATAGAAATATTATAAAATGACGAGTCAGAATCTTTATTATAGAAGGATTGCATCAATTTTAAAAAAAATTATGCTAAATTTGATTCTTGGAATTTTAATATTATTTTGTTTACAAAATATCGCTAAAATTTAATGATGAAAATTTTAAAAAGGCAATTCAACAAACGAATCACAACTTACACCACATTTCTTACTCGATGTGATTTTTATGGAGATTACAGGATGATTAGTAAAAACCTTATAAGTTTAGCTTTATTTTATGAAATAGAAACATTTCTAAAACGGGCTGAAATTTGAGATAATGTCTAATTCCGAATCCCCCTTCACATCTCGTACCAAAAAGAAAAAACGTTCAAAAGGTAACTGAATTAAATTAATTTCAATTTAGTATTTAATATCTAAAAATTGTTGTAGGGGAAATGTGCCATAAATGGCCAGACTGGCTACCACCCTTTAACTTTTTATCTATTGGACCGATTTCTCTCAAAATTTATCAATGTATATTTATGATATGTACCTTACCTAAGTTAATTTATTCAATAGAGCAATCCAATAAAAAAAAATTAAAATAAACTGTTTTTAATACCTCTTTCTGGAAAAATCACGTTACACATTTTTGTTTGGTGAAATTACTAATTTAGATTACTAATATTTATATAAATATTATCCTTAGGCATAGCATTATTCACACAAAAATTAGACTTTAAATTATTTAATAGACACGTGCTTAGTAATAATAGAGAGGTGAGTATTGTCTGGCCATGTATTGATTGACCACAATTGGCAAATTCACAAATTCATATTGTAATGAAAAGCTCGTGCAAAACAACATTTGGTGAAATTTCAAATGATGAACAAGCTTAAGAATGTTTAGCAAAAAGATATTTAAGATATTAATT